GGAAACACTTGCACCAAGTGGGATCATCCAACCCTTGAAGGTACATCAGGTTGGTGAATGCCATCAGATGGTCTTCCGGGTTAGTAGTGCCATCATAGGCGCCTACTAAAACATTTTTTACTTTGGCCGGCTGAGCGGCTTCAGTAATTTCCTTGGAGAAGGCCGACGGCTGTTCACCAAGTCTAAGCAGCCGTAGCTGCCAGTCCATAGGTTGGACGTTTTTTGCTGCAGGTCCACCAAATGGAGGTGGCTGCATAAAATATTGTTGTTGCGGCACAAATGGCAAGTTTGGTACCGCTTGCGCACTATGAAAGCCGGACTGACGGGAGGTGCCGCCTGACTGACCCTCATGGTACGACTGAGTTGGCCTCATCGAGGCATTTCGCAAACTGTCCTGAAAATTTGAAGTAGAAGCCGACTCTGATAATCGGTCACTCTTCTTCTGCTCCAGCAGGTGCCGGGCATCTGTGAACGTTTGCTTTGACCCGTCCGCCTGAATATGACGAACCGGTTTTCTATTTCCAGTAGGATAACAGAGTTTTGTGAAATCAAGAGCAGACGGCTCCCGTTTCTTGTATTTGGGATGGGGAGTCGCCTCTCGCCCTTGAACTGGCCTCCTCTTTAGTGAAGTGGAAGGTTTCTTGGCCGACTGCTCTTTGACTGAAGCAGGCGGTTTTTTGTTGATCAACTCTTGGATCTCTCCCTTGAAGCCCCTCATGAAGGTCATGAGTTCGTTCCTTGTGATGGGAGCAGACCCATCAGTCGGCTGTTGCCGAGCAAGCGTTGCGCCTGCTGGCTCGCTTCCTGTTTGAAGATACTCCCGTTCCCTCATTTCGGTATGACGGGTACGGCGGGCCCTTAGGGTCCCGTCTGGAGCTGTATGAGTTTCAACTTCAAATTCACTTTCGGTATCATGGTCCGACTGAACTTGAGGGTCGTCTAGGGGACGCCTCTCTTCTGGAATCGGTACAGACTTGGATGCCATCTCTGAAGTACTCTCCCCACAGACGGCGCCAAATGTTTCGGGGTTTTCTGATGTCCTGCGGGAGAGTTACAATTCCGAGACTGGAACCGGACGCCTGTACCTGCAAAATAACGGAGACTCCTGAGAGCTCCGCCTCCAACGGTCAAGTTAGTACCTGATTAAGGAGTAATCAATACAGAAATTAAAGTAATGAGGTCTCTCTAGGTGAGAGTGCTTAGTGTTGGTAATCTGTGTTGTTAACGAGATTAGCCGGTTAATAAGTCTGTTCTTCTCTGCTTGATCTCTTAATTATTCGGTTGTTTTCCGTTGTTTGATTAATGAGGATTAATCGAGTATTTATAGCCTTGGGAAGCGTGCAACTCTCTAGGTTTAAGGTAAACCTAGGGCTGATCGGGCCTCTAGACTGAATTGGGCCTTGATGGCCGGTTGTCCCATTTGGCATGGGTGGACACGTGGCGTGTCTTAAGTGGTCCGTGGAGGACGTATCTGTGATCGACACGTGGCAGGCTCCTGTTGGCCTTCGTGAAGGACACGTGGCGGAACCTGGTTGGTCCACTTGTCAGACGGTGATTGGTGGATAAAAATCCCCTAATCAGTAGCTGCAATGAAAAGTAATCTTTGAGCACATGAGTCGAACAAATTAACGTAAAACAAGAAGAGGAAAGGATCGTCACCTCTATGACTCTCCATAAACCGTAGACAGTGACAGGGGACTCGTCGTTCAGCTGCCTACAGCCATGATGAAACGACAAGAGAAGGTCGGCGTGTCCGAGGCTGGCCCAGCTAAAGGATCATATCTCACTAATCCTGACTAAAGAAGGGAGGTAGTAAAGGAGTGCACGTGAAGTCCTATCTGGAGAAAGAGTCATGGAGATGAGAATCAGAATGAAGATCCGCACTCGCTGCTCAGCTGATGTCTCCTCCATGTCAAAACCACGGGCTAAAACCGAAGCCAACTCCGATCGCCCACTCTTAGGACCACCTCGAGACACTGGCTGAGTCCTGATATGTTGAATGATCAGAATTAACAAATCGGCTGCCTCAGCCGCTCCCCAAGAAAGATCAGCCATCTGTGCTACAGCCCGGTCAGTGAAGCGCAGACCGCTAATCATGCTAAAGTCCAGAGGGGTCACTGTCATCTCCCCCCAAGCAAAGTGAAAGGTGTTGGTAGTATCCCAAAAATACTCCAACAATGCGCGAACGACTGTCGCACCACAACCCCGGGGGCTGTGAAACCCTACGACCGCCAAATAAAAGTCCACTAAACCAGCTGATTTCCACAAGGCGTTCGTAGTAGGATCCCTCGTGATAATCTGGTGCAGTCGAGGAATAAAATCTCCGGCTCCAGAACCGTGGTGGCGAAGCGTGCCGTCAACTATGCCGGCAATAAGGCGATGAGAAACGTGGTTCTCACGACAGAAAACCACTGGTCTGAAGTCCACGGAGGTGGAACCCACCTACCTCTACCCGTAGAGGCCCGAGGCTCAGACTCTAAGGCGTCGTCATCCATACCCTCGGGAATCGTGGGAGTGTCCTCCCGAAAAGTTTGACGTCGGCCATGGAAAAGAGATCGTGATCCCGTCGTCTAGGCATGCTATTATAAAAATAAAAATCTAAATGCTTAGCATCATTTCCTAAGACATTTAGTTATTTATATTGAGTTGCATTTTAATAAAAAAAATCTAAATGCTTAGCATCACTTCCTAAGTTATTTAGTTATTTATCGCATTATGCGCTAAATTTTACCTCATGGCTAAGAATTGGCAAAATAATGGAATTATTTATAGTATTTAGTTTCTCCATGACTAACTAATAATATGTTCTCCTAATTGCATGATACTATGTTCTCCATGACAATGTAGTACATACACAATAGAAAACATGTCTCAAAATTGCACAAAAACAATAGATCAACGCATCATAGCATATTTTACAAGATCTACAACCAACATGTCATCATCTCAAGTGCAAAAGAACAACATAAACAACACGAAACACCATTTACCACAAGTAGTACCAAAAATGGTGATTTGCTCAATTTTTCACTAAATCATGCAATTTTTGTCTCAAATCACTCACAAACACACATACGCACATATGCAATTAAATTCATGGAAAGAATTTCAACATAAACCTCAAAATCAAAAAAACCCCAAATTGATTTTTAAGGGTCTTTCATGAAATTACTCATTTGAAGCAAATTCGAGGCAAAATCAATGAAAACTTACATGGATCCTTGTAGAGAATCGAAAATGAGGAAAGTAGCAAAAAAATATAGCAGAATTGATGAAGATTTGAGCTCCAAAAGCTCGAACAGCCGTGAAGACCGCAGCACGACCGCCGTGACACGGTCAGCAGCTGCCGTGACACGGTAAGAACGGCCCGTGTCACGGTGAGTTAGGGTTGTAGCGGAACTCCGGCAGTAGCAGCGGCTACCTCAGGCAACGGCGGCTGCAAGCGCTAAAACGAGCAACAAGCAGTAGCAAAAAATATAAAAATAAAAAGGGAAAACGCAGAACCGCTGTGACACGGGAAGTGATCTCCATTTGACGGAAAATAGCTCCGAGCGCCGGTGAAATCTTTTCATGGCTCGGTAATTTGAGCAGAAGAAAAAAAAAGAAAATGGAGAAGGGGAAGTGCGGAGATAGCAAGAAAATGGAAGGGAGCAGCTCGAATTTAAAGACAAAAAAGCATCCCGTTACATCCCGTTTCCCGTGCGATGGTTTCCATTACCATGTAACGATGATATATTGGCGTGGCGCACGTGGTTTGACTGGTCAAAGATGCCAGTTGACTGATCTTCAGCCAACAGATTTCCCGCGTCACGGGAATCTGCTGCGCGTGACGGGGATCCCTGTCGTGTCACGTGAATCCTTTTTCGTGACACGGTGGTCCTGCGCCTGCCCTGCATAGCTATTTGCGAATATTCCTGGCATTTTGACCGAAATTGAACGATTTTCCGCGCAAATTGGACAGTTAATTTTTCAGTAAAATTACGCAGAAAATTCTAACTGACGGTTGGAGGGTACCAAAATTACTATTTTGCCCCTAGAAGCATTAAAGTCAATTTTGTTCGATATTTTAAGCACCTGATATGGTCAGATAATCGAATTGAAGTTGTGAATCATTTGTGGCCCATATTCGGGGATAATTGAACCATCATACACTTGCAAATTTCAGCGATTACAGTAGTCGTCGACTTTCCTCAAGCATGGCAAGCGTTATCGGTGGATTTTTCTTCAAGTATAGAAAACCGCCAAGTCGGCTTTCCTCAAGCATGGAAAGAGTTATCGGTGGAATTTTCTTCAAGTATAGAAAACCGCCAAGTCGGCTTTCCTCAAACATGGAAAGCATCATCGGTGGATTTCTTTAGGCATAGAATGACACCAAATTCATACGTCGACTTTCCTCGGGCATGGAAAGTATCATCCGGTAGCACTACAAGAAAAAGACGAATTAGCGACGATCAAAGTAGTCGCAAATCCGTCGCAAAAATGGATTTGCGACAGGTTTGCAACTACTTTGGTTAGTCTTTAAAGACCTCGTCGCAAATCCATTTTTGCGACTAATTTTTGGATAGTCGCAAATTTAGCGACGAATTTGCAACGACTTTGCAACTACCATTTAGCAACTACCTTTAGAATTTTAGCAACTAAACCTTTGTCCGTTGTAAAATATTTGCAACGGATTAGCGACTACGGAGACGAATGTTTTAAGACTATGGAGACCAATGTTTTTTGACGGATTAGCAACTACCATATGAAAATTTTGCAACTACCAGAAAAAAAAATTTCGACTACGGAGGCTAATTTATTTTGTAACGGATTAGCGACTACAAGACTAATTTTTTTTGTGACGGATTAGCGACTACGAGACAATTTTTTTTGCGACCGATTAGAGAATACTGAGACTAATTATTTTGTAACTAACCATTCAACCTCTAAAACAAATCTGCAGTCACTAAATTTTGCAACGACCAATATCAGTCACAGAAAAAAGGGTTATCAAGCATAAATTAAAATAACCAAAATGTCAATTTTATTCATATATCAAAAATATCATAAATTTTGTATCAATGTATAAAAAAACAATATTCTAAACCATATGACTAATTGTTTCAAAATCATCTCCCATATAAAGGAAGCTACTTCCAATAAGAACTAATGACGATATACAAATACGCCTCCAAATATTAAAGATCAACTATTCACAAAATTACCACAAGAAAATAAAAATCACTTAGTTGCATCACAAGAGCGGGTGATAGTAAACGTAGGAGGCTTCGTAGGATAGTAATGTTGGACAAGTGTTGTGATATCCTTCAATGTTTTGTGCAAAGCTATTTTTTCCTTCTTTCATGTTGCTTTTTTTATCTCATGATTTTCAGTAATTTCCTTGGCATATTTTAAGCTTTCTGCCGCCATTTTTTGGCTTTCTTCTGCCTTGTCATGGTTTTCTTCCGCCATCTTCTTTAATTCTTCAACTTGAGAGCTTAGTTGAGAAATAACTGATAACAAGCCCAGATCATTTATTTGACAGATTCTCTTTCTTATAATAGAAAACCAGACATACAATCAGCTACAAACACAGCATTGGAATGTTTCTCACTTTCTCAAGGGTATCTACATGGAGCATATACTGGCAATCTGATAACACATATACCTGAGTTCTCTATACATGTATACAGACCAAAAACCTAATGAAAATATAAATAAATATGTGAACAACATCCTAATCATGATATATAATCACAGAAGAAGACATAAATAAGATAGAGTCATTGATTATAACTGCAGCGACTCTCAAAATTTCAAGCACGGAGAGGGTGTTTCAATCAGACACTTGATTGGAAAGCAATTGACAAACCAATGTAATTAATTTTACAAGCATTGCCTGAACTAGCACAATCTATCATATACACAAGCTAGGAGGTACTTGAAGTAGCTCAAATTTATTTTAGGTGCCTGAACTAGAACAAACCATCACATACACAAGATAGCAGGTGCCTGAAATAGCAAAACCTGTCACATACACAAGCTAGCAGTTGCGTGAAATACAGGGCGACTACTCAGGTAACATCACATAACATCACATACACTTAGGAAAGTCATTCTTTATCTGCAAATTTAAATTATTACCTTAATTAATCTAAATGCCTAAACTAGCTCAAAGCTTTGTTGACCTTTGCTTGAGTGAACTCCAACCTGAGATGTGACCACCATAAGCTAGATGCATTTTGATATCAGTTTTGATATGTGCCTGAACATTGTATGTAATAAAACAATTACTCCTTAAAAAGATACAAGTGAATCTGACAACATACACAATTAATCATTAACACATTTAAAATCACCAAATTAGTGAATTGCAGCACTAATAAATGTTGGTGTTCGATCAAAAGACCACATAACCTAACAAAGTAATTTGAAACTACTGAGAAATCAAAATTAAACAATAATTAGATAATTGATTGAACAATATAACCACACTCTGAATTATGAGAGTGATGAGGCCTATTAAGAAACTCTGACGCATAATTGTAGAATTCAATTTAATTAACAAAAACAGCAAATAAAGAAATTATAATTTTTAAGGCTCATTTATCTAATGTCAATCTGGCTCAACAGCAAAATCACGAATCCAAAATCAAAACCCTATCCCAAAAGAGAGAGAAAGAGGCAAACTGAGGAGGGGTGGCGGTATCCGCCGCTTGATAAAGATCCGACTCCGGTTAAGTTAATCACGGTGGTCACGAAAACCGTCACCATTGCCGCCTCCATCACGACCACTAGTGATTAAGGCCAGATAGAAGAAACAGAGAGGTAGAATGGGTCAACGACGGGTGAAGGGCCGACGGTTGAGTGCCGAATGAGAGAGCAGGGGGAAAGAGGCGGTAATGAGAGAGAGAAAAGAGAGGAAAGTATGGTTTACCGATTAGAGGAGAGAGATTGATAGAATAAGAAAAGACTACCATGTTAGTGCAAATTTTTTTTTTGTTTTTTTTTTTTTTTTTTTTTTTTTTTTTTTTTTTTTTTTTTTGCGGCAACAGCTTATTATATATACTAAGGGTTTTTTTTATTTCTTTTTAAATAAATTTTAAAAACAATGGTAGCGACTACCATATTAGTTGCATTAGTAGTCGCAAATTTATTTAAAAAAATGGTTTCAAAATTATTAACCCTAGCAACTACAATTTAGTCACAAAAAGTTATAAGAGCGTCGCAAATTAGAAACCGCAAAGCAAATATTACAAGATCGGTTGCAAAATTTGCGACTTTTCGTCTTTTTCCGTCGCAAAAATTATTTTGCAACTGATTATTATGGTAGTCGCAAAAATTAGTTGCAAATTAGCGACCGCATAGCAACTACTGCAAAATCGGTTGAAAATTTGCGACTACTCGTGTTTTTCAGTCGCAAAAATAATTTTTGCGACTGATTAATTATGGTAGTCATAAAAATCAATTGCTAATTTCCCTTTTTCTTGTAGTGTAGGTTTCTTCAGGCTTAGAAAGTTACCAAATCCCTCTGTCGGCTTTCCTCAGGCATGGAAAATGTTTCAACGAACGTTATCCGGTGGATTCCATCAAGCATAGGAAGCTGCCGAACTCATTAGTCACCAATACACTGGTGCCAGATACATATTCTATCCTTTTACTCTTTTATCTGTGGAATTAACATTTTTCTACAGGTATCGGCGTATACAGAGTGATTTAGGATCGCAGAACGTCTTAACTCATTCGCCGTCCCTATCTACTACTTTGACTATCGTTTTCGAAACTGACGTTTCTAAAAACTCAGTCAAAGTGGGGGCTTCTGTAGACACCTAAAAATGTCTGCCCAAAACCAAACTCGATGATGAACAACCTTTCACCGCTACTATTGGTCAGGTTCAGTATTTAATCCCGAGAGTGCTTAAAAAAACGTATTTGATTAAATTCGTATTTTTGAACAGTCCATGGATTAGTCTTGATGTTTGGTAAAATCATAGTTTTAATTTCAGCCCAAATTAATTATTTAATTTCAGCCCTAACCTTTTTTTTATTTTATTGTTTATTTTTGGCCCAAACCTTTTATTTATTTTATTTGCTTATTTTCTTATTTTAGCCCAAATAATAATAAATCAGCAAAAGGCCCGAAATTATCAATCGGCACTTAAAATGCTGAACGAAATTAGGGTTAAAAATGTATTTAGACGGAAAAGCGGGCTGAAAATTCCCGCGCCACTACAAGAATCCACCGTGTCACGGGAATCATTCCCGTCTGGCGCTGGGATTTCCCGTGACACGGGAAACCTGCTGTGACACGAGAATTTCCCTGTCCTTTCCGCGTAAACCCTTAACGCGTTTTCTTCCCCGTTTGCTAAATATTTTCCACGTCACACTAAAATTGCACCGTGTCACGGGAATGTTTCCCGTCTGACGGTGGGACTTCCCGTGTCACGATACAGTTTTCCGTGTCGCAGGATACTTTTTTAGGGTTTTTATCATTTTAGGGTTCCGTGTGTTCCCTCTGCACATTTTCTCTATAAATACCCCCTCATTTCTGATGTACGGGGCATCAATTAATTCTCTAGTTTTTTCGCTCTTCTATGCTCTAGCCTAAACACTAGCCTACCCTTCTTATTTCAAAATTCCTTCTTCAAGTACTCCAAGGAGTCCATACTTTACTCGTGGTTCTGTCCTTAAGCCAAGGCGTGAAAGGTAGAACTGTTTGAGGGTTTAGCCCGAAATCAATTCTATTTAATTTAATTTAATTATTGTTTTATTATTATTTCCTTGAATTTACTAAATCGTTTATTATTTTGTAGTTGTAAACAAACAGAATCAAAGTAAGAATTATGTTCCTTTTATTTCTATTATTTTTCTAACGATTTTATATTGTTGGAATTATTGTTAAATTGCTTCCAATATTGATGTTATTCTATTATTTTTATGATCACTATATTGCATGTTTATGGGAATATGTAATTGAAAATCACGCCTAATGAGATAATTTGGACAACCGGTTTAGGTTCCTTTTTAATCTTGTTGTTAATTGAAGTGATCACGATATTTTAGAATTATGTGTTGCATTAATATTCAACCAATTTAGCTTAATAATAGTTTAGAACAAATTGAATATTTTGTTTGTATGCCTTTGAGATCGCAGGAATACTTTTCACTATAAGAATCGAGTAGAGGCCAATACGGGCGAATGTGACTCCATGACTCACTTCGTACCATCATCCCCGATCCTCCTTTCGTGGTTCATTCCGAACCATATGGAGTTAGTAATCTCAAGGATTATGAATGGGGTGTAACCTTCACGGGTCAATCGTTGTTGTCTATCGTTGTCCTTTATCGTGGTTGCCTTTTTATGATCCATGAACGGTTTTCAAGTTTCTTAAAAACTTGTTGGCGGCTCCCTACTTTATTTGTCCCTAATCGTATATGTCAATTCCCAATTCCTATGAGTGCCAAGCATGTTCACAACATGCTTTTACGTAGGTGCACATCGAACGACACCTACAAATGCTGTCCAGCAACCCTCTATCCAAGGTATGCGATCACTCCATAAGTCCCGAGGAAATAGCGACGCTCAGCGGAATACTGCGCGGCTAACCCAGGGACTGCCAGGCCGAACCCACGGCCGGTACATCACCTCTGGCTCATGCAAAGAGCGTCAATCAGGCGAGAATCTATCTAAAGCATCGCAAAATGGCAAATAAGAAAAGAACCATACCACGATGATCAAGTCTCGGACATATGCAGTGGACATCCCCGCACGACGGCTACCCTAGGAAGCGCTCACTAGAAACCTGCGCGGCGACGGTCTCGCCGGCGTAGCATAAGTGAAGTACTCGTAGAACCAGATATACAAGGGGTTAAAATTATCACCAAGTGCTAGCTAAAACGTAGAGCTAAACTTTATAGGGAATAATGTTTACCTCTACGACCCTCCAAAAGCTGGATAGAGCAACATTCGTCCCAAACGACCGATGTCGACACGAGTCCCTCAACGCTCGAATGAAGTCAGCATAGGCCAAGCTGGCCCACTCATAAGCCCCGATCCGGTATAGATCGCAGACGGCAGGAAGGTAGTAAAGCAGTGCCCTACTACCCTTGTTAGGGGAAAACGTCCCTGACAACAAAATTACTCCCAAGGCAATATATAAACATAATCAAGCAATTTCATGGCATAAAAATTTGACAAATAAAGAGAATTGAGCATTCTAAGTTTCGAAATTTTATGAAATTCAAAGATAAACACATGCAAAATTCATAAAAACCGGTGTGATTTCGAGGAAAACTTACATAGATCGGGAAAATGGATGAAAATAAGCTTTGATTTGCAACAAATTTGAGTGAATTTGGTTGAGAAATCAGCAAGAACGAAGCAAATGAATTTCTGGAAATTTTCGAGCAAAAACACGACGAGCAGCAGCGAAAATGAAGAAGGAAAGGGTATTTAAGGAATATCCTATTCTGGCACCAGGCGCTAGACCTTGGCATCAACAGATAGGCTTGGCGCCTGGCGCAAATCCCAACGTCTGGCACTACAACCAGTTGTGTGGCGCTGCTGTGTTTTCAGCGGCGCCAGCATGTTCAGCCACTCAGTGAGGTTGTTCAACCTTTTTGTAATATGTTTTGGGTTCCTTGGTACACCAGTTAGCCCCTCTAAGCAATTTGACATGATTTTTAGTAATCGGCTTGATTGCACAAAGTGATTGACCTGATGAAAGATTGTCTCACTTAGCTTAAAGCGCTTAAGCATTGGCTCATTAACAAAAGGCACCGACTAGTGGTTCATTCGAAAAAGGCACCAACGTACAGGTTCAAAAGCAACAAAAGCGCCGACGTACATGCATAATGGAAGCAAAGTTCAAGCGAACTTTTAAAATATCGACAAGCGGAGATCTTTCGGTAATTTCCTTTGGAAAATTATCGCAACAAATGATGATGGCTTCAAGCGAGGATATCTTTGACGGAATTCCCTAGATTGTGGAGAGTTGTCACAAAAAACTGAAGGTGATTTCAAGCGAAATTGTCTTCGATCGTGTTCCCTTAGACGAGGAAGATGGTAATAAAGCGGAAGAAGATTGTTTCAAGCGAAACAATCTTTGATAGTATTCCCTTGGACATGGAATATTATCATAGCAGAAGAAGATTTTTTCAAGCGAAGCCATCTTCGATAGTATTCCCTTGGACGTGGAATATTATCAATGCGGAAGAGGATTGTTTCAAGCAAAGCAATCTTCGATAGTATTCCCTCGGACGTGGAATATTATCAATGCGGAAGAGGATTGTTTCAAGCGAAGAAATCTTCGATAGTATTCCCTCGGACGTGGAATATTATCAATGCGGAAGAGGATTGTTTCAAGCGAAGAAATCTTCAATAGTATTCCCTTGGACGTGGAATATTATCAAAGCGGAAGAGGATTGTTTCAAGCGAAGAAATCTTCAATGGTATTCCCTTGGACGTGGAATATTATCAAAGCAGAAGAGGGTTGTTTGAAGCGAAGCAGTCTTCTATATCGGAGGCAGTTACAAGCGTAGCGGTTTTCAAGCAGGATGGCATTCTCTTGGCAAAAGGTCATCAAAACAGCAGCAATGTAGCAGCAAATCGGTTACTTTCAGAGATGTGTGCTCGACGGTGCAAGATACGCGTTTCTTTACTCTTTTATCTGTTTGACTAACGCTAGTTTGCAGGTATCGGTGTTACAAGAGTGATTTAGGATCGCAGAACGTTCTAAATCATTCTCCGTCCCTATCGATACTTTGATTTTTGTTTTTCGAAACTTGCGTTTCTCCAAACTCAGTCAAAGTGGGGGTTTATGTAGACACCCATTTGTGTCTCCCCAAAACCAAACCCGGTGATGAGTATCTTTCACGTCGAATCATAATCGAATGAAGTGAAAGTGTGGAAAGTTTAGTGTTGCATATAATTTTAATTTCTTTTCTCTTCTCTCTATTTTCGAAAAACTTATTTAAAGAAAAATAGCCAATCCAGTTTGGTTGGTCCATGATATGGGTCCAATAGTAGTGTAGTTGGAT